AAATGTTTATCATATTAATATTCATTGTTTTTATCTTACATACATCACTTTCCCTACAAAATATTTTCACCCAATTCTATTTCTTAACGAGCTTCACGGTAAGATTCCAAAAGGCAGAATGCTATTGTTCTTTATTTAAAATTGATAAAGTGCCAAACTATGGTGCTAAGTACTTAACGTTTGTTTTTAAAATGATACAATTCAATTTCTGGAACAATAGGAAGGAGCTATTTCATTAAAAATTCATACTAAGCTTTCAAAAGTTCTCTTATATTCAATGTATCTTAAATATTTTATTAATGCCAAAAAATTTGATGTTTAAAAGACAACACTAATCTAAAATTTTCAAAAGTTTATATAATTCTGAAAAAAAAAAGAACTTGAAACAAAAGTTTATATAATTCTGAAAAAAAAAAAGAACTTGAAAAGAAAAAAGCATGTTAATTTTTTTTCTCACTATAACTTAATTTGTTAGATTGTTATCTAAATGAGAGTTAACAATTGGGTACTTGCAACTCGAGAAGAAGTGAAAGTGATTACACCTATCCATGCAATTTAAATCAGATTTAATTGTATACCTCGGTGGCTGAGCGGTAGCGCTTCGCGCTGTCGTGCCACAGGTCCTTGGTTCGATCCTCGGGCCGGGCAAGGTTGACTCAGCCTTTCATCCCTTCAGTGGGTCGATAAATGAGTACCAAGCATGCTTGGGAACTAAACACTGGGGGTTTCGCGTTCGGCTGACCACCTGACCGGAACATCTGCTCCTGCACCCCAGAGCCCAAGGTCAAGAAAACTGAGATGGGCACAGTAGGCCTTGGCCCTCTTTGGGCTGTCGAGCCACTGAGTTTAGTTTTTAATTGTATACCTACCTGTAAGCGACATCACGCTTGCATGTCGAACCTGATTGCTTGTTAAATCCACGAATGCGACGATTTACTTTCGATGACGTCACTTGCAGGCATACAAATATGGGTTTAAAATTATGATTTTTGGTTAAATGAGTTTGAGAAAAAAACCATTGCTAACAAAAAAATTATTTGTTTTGTAACCACTATGTTCATACAGGGTGTTCTACAAGTTCTCATACAGTATTCATACTGTTAACGTAAGCATAAAACAAAAATTCTAGTGTCTTAATTTAAATCATTGAATTTCATGAATAATTAAAAACTGGTGCAAAGCTTTGAAAATAATAAAAATGTACGAAACATCTCTTGTCGTAAGTAAAAAGAAGATGGAAAGAAGTGACGATGCATACCACTCTATACATACCGTGAATTGGGCAGCAATGTGAGTGTGTGCTGCTCAGTGCCCAGCACGCTCGAATCACCTAATTTATCGAGCAATGATTACTTTCAGCTCAAACTTAAAAAGCTATCATGCAACATTTGACATGTGCTGCTACAGCACTAGCTCTCGATATGCAACCACGTCCAATAATTAACACGCTGCTTGTGACAGGTATAGAGGCACACACGGTACCTAAACGCAGTGTGGTGGTACAAAACATGTTGCTGTCATAAAACATGCTGCTGTCACATTTCTTTTTTTAATCCTACTCCCAGACTGGGTCAATTGGCCATGCGCTGTCCAATAAAGACGCGAAAAACCAGAAGGGGTAGTATACCCAATGTCAATATGTTTTAATTTGGTTCACACAAAGAGGTGTTAGAACTACCCCCACACAGAACGCATGAGGCAAAGGCTGCTGTGCTGATACGATTGAGATGCTGCTGGAGGATTGGACGCTGCATGATCTATCAACATTCGAATACTCTCTTATAATACGCCAGAGTTAATTAGAGAGGAATTCCGTTTTTGTTTTTTGCTAACCGAATATCTGTCCTTCCATGGGGTGAAAAAAAACGAACCAATAAATCACTACTGAACAACACTAATTATGTACAAAGCTGAAACTCATAACCAACTCAATTAATAAGCTAAAATAATTCTCAGAGCCTGGTAAGGCAGGGGCATACGGAGCCGTTGCCCTGGGTCCTCACCTCCTAATCGAATAGAAAGTTTATTTTACGTTTCCTTCTTTATTGAGCTTTTTTTTTTTTAAAAAAAAATATCAGTACAGTGTAAAATTCGCAAGCTTTAGGTCAGCTTCTTCTTTAACCTATCGTACAAAAATTCCATATTTCGTTAATTAATGCCTTTCTAGGCTGGAATTCAGCTGTTTTCGCAATTACGATGGTCAAATTTGGCCAATGAGAAGCGTGTATTTTTACATATCGCAAAATTTAAATACCTCCATAAAGTTCGGTTCTTCATTACTGTAGTAGTAAAGCAGAGTGGGGCCCCAAAAGAAGTTTTTGCCCCGGGGCCCAATTAGGATAAGTCAGGCTCTGATAATTCCATTTATTTATTTATTTCATTTAATATCATATTCCGCTCTCTTCGGCAGCTATCATGTTATTAGAATAAACAAAACGCATCTTTAGTAGCTCATCCCATTAGAATAAAGATTAACTGTATTCAATACCAATTGGCATGATGCTGTTGCTTGAGGTCAACTCCTTAATTTACTGTATCCCATTCAAAAGACTGTAAAAAATTTCCTTTCACACTATCTAAATTAAAATTGTTCAGTATTGATGCAGATTCAATGCTGATGTAAAATTCCCAGGTATCAAATATATTAATGTAATACATAGTCCCTATATTTTTAACTTATTAAAACTGCACGAATTACCACAATACCAGTAGAGTCTATTACCAAAAATAATTAAGCATCATTAGCGTAAATAATATGGCCTGAACAGACATAAGATCCTAAATAAATAATATAGACCCTAAGCGAATTAGAAAAATTTCTCCATTAATTTTGCTTCATAGTACATAGCTTATTTTTTACTTCAATTAGTATTTATTACAGAAATTAATTAAAAACTGGCATCAATAATAGTTGGCGAATTTTTACGCTTTCATGAAATGAATTAGTACCATTTCTCTATTAATTTTGCTTTTTAATACATAGATAATTTTTTCCCTTCAATTAGTAACTATCACAAAAACTAACTGAGCATCACTGGCGCTAATAATAGTATGTCGATTTTAACGGTCCCTTAAACAAACAAGTACATTTTCCCCATTAACTTTGCCTTTTGATACACATAGTTTTTTTTTTAAATACAAATTATTGTGTTTCAATACAGATTATTTTTTTCAAAATTTCGATTAAAACTTAATACTTAAATTAATTAAACATTATTGGTGTCAATAATAGTATGGAGATTTTTTCGCTTCTCCTTAATTACTTGTATCCTTTTTCATTAACTTTGCGTTTTAGTGAATAGCTTATTTTTTCCAAGTAATACCTATTACCGAAATTAGTAAAACATCATTGGCGCCGATAATAGTGTCATACATTTTTATGCTTCTTCTAAATGAATTAGTTCTATTTATATATTAAATTTACTTTTTAGAACTTTTTTTTATTTAAAAAATTGTTGATTTTAAGTTATTTAGTTTTATGGAGTCACCTTTTTAAAGCATGACTATCAAAACAAACACGTGGTTTCAGATAACTTTAGAAATACGAATTTGGTGACATAGTCCGTTTATGTCACCACGTTCACGTTAATCATTCAGGTTGGTCACTCAAATGAGGTGATAACCCTGTATATATATATACAAGCAGTGCTTTTTATAAAATTCATTGATCATATTTTCTATAAACCAATATCTCAAGTCAAATGTTTAAATAATGTTGCTTTGAATTAGCATTATTATTTTAAGAAATTCAGTATAAAAATGAAAGCCACAAATGCAAAACTGTCAAATTTCTTGTTGCATACTTGATAGAGAAAAAAATTTAAAATTCTTTAAATTTTTATTCTTTTTTGTTTGTTTTTTCTTATAGTTAAAATATTTACAGAATTCCAATTTAAACACATGGTTTTTTAGTTTAGCATAGTTAATTGTTTTTACAACTACAAACTTGACCTGTACAGTGCAGAACACGTTTTCTTTCTTCCTAATAAACACATATTCATAAAAAAAATAATTATATTTTATGTTTATACATAATTTAGCATGCTTCCCATACATTCCTTAATCTTTGTCAGCTTTTTAGGGTAAAAGGAGAAACAGTTTTGAATTGTCATCTCTGGAATGCAAGCAACATTTACGAACTTCCAATACTGTGATTACTATGCAATTTGAATTTTGAATCAAAACTCAAATATTTACCAACAAAACAGTGAAATTAAATGTTGTCATATTTCTCAAAAAAACCTTTTTTTGAATTAAAATACGTCATAAAAGGTTAAAAAGAAATCGAGAAAATTAGCATTAATACAATAATTATAACAATTTGTCTACAAACATTGCTATTAGCAAATTGCAAGAAAATGTGTGATTCGTTGGCTTTGCTGAGAAAAATAATTCACAGATTTCATTGGAATAGAGTACAAAAGCTTTCAGAAAAAGAGTGCAATATAAAATCTATTGTTATTAAACTATAACCAACTAATTTTCAGAGAATTTTATAAAGTTAAAAATACTAAAATGTTTTGTGAAAATAGAAAAAAATTACCACCAAAGTATTATAACAAGCTTGGAAATAAATGGATTCAGTTCATGGACTAGCTCTTAAAAACAGAAGCAAATATCCTAACCCTGTAGCCTTGTAATTTTGAACCAATCCAGAAGACAAGGAAATTCTTAGATCAGTACCCCCAGAGGTATTGATTTGTTATGAGAACATGGAGGACTTTGCGACTCGACAGATTTAACATGCATCTGTCACCATTTACTACAGGGGGAGTCTTCGGCCGGTGGGGATCGAACCAATAAACTCTTGGATATGGGTCTAATCAGGCTATCCCGGCCTACCTACAATAAAGATTGAAAAATTCTGATTTATCAACAGCCTCTTTGAGTTTCAACACTTTAAAAAGAATTTGGTTAAATTGGTTCAAACATACCACAGGAAATATTATTTTAAAACATTTTCAGATGCTGAAAAACTACTAAAATAAAGATTAAAAAAATCTATTTTATTCCATTTAAATATATTTTTTTACAAACAATTTCCAAAAAGATTATATTAATTTGAATACATAATTAACAGTATGAAGATATTGTACAGTAATGAGAGATGATTTTTCAGAAATAAATTTGGATAGCATTTTGAATATAACTACGAATGAATATAGTCTCTGAAACATAACATATGGTAACATTATCACGAACATCTTCCATTTGCACTATTTTCATTCCATTTACGAACATACTGTATACTCAAATTCCTTGTACAGTTATTGATTTTGAAAATACCCAGCAGATGATCAGAGAGTTCATTCATTACATTTCGCAAGGATACAATAATAAACTGACAGTTCAGAGTGGTTTCCTGTAAATATAAAAGGGCAGATGTCACCAGAATGAAATACAAATATTACAAAACAAATAATTCATATTTAATCTTATTTTATTCAAGTGACTAAAATAAATTTTTACCATCATTTAAAAATTTGCACTTGAAGCATGTTCAATAACTTGCAACTTAAAATTTTTTTCAAATATGTTGATTCAAACCAGTTAATGTCCAACAGTGTCATGGAGGTCAAAACTTTAACATTTTGAGACAAATGGCATGATTATAGCAATATGATCAGCATTTAAGTTTTAAATTTTGCTTATTTTTGTTGATAAGAAGTATTTTAGTTAAGGTTAAGTAATAGTTAACTGTCAATCAGTATTAAAAAGTATAAATCTGTAAAAGAATTTTAGACTTTTTATTAGATTAGAAGAACTTTCATGACCAAGAAAGCACAAAAATGATAAACTGATTTTATGATGCTTGAAAAAAATATTTTGTTTTGAACTTCTCATCATACTGCATTTTGTACATAAATTTCTATTTTATGAAATGCTTTTAAAATAGAAAATCGTTATGATCACTAAATAGATCACTTAAATCATTAGGTACAATTTCTGAACTTTTAAAAGTACAAATTTGTTGTTTACCAGTTCTATCCCATGTATTTCAATTTAGAAACTAAGCTAAGTTGGGAAACTAAAGTTAAAAATAAAATCACTGGCATTGTAAAAATTTCTCATAGGTATATGAAAGCTTGTTTAAAAAATTAAACATAATGAAACAACAAAATAAAATGAAATTTCTTTAGTAGAAAACTTACTTTTAAATAAAAGCCCACAATAGCAACATTTCTTACATCAAGAGCAGCATCAATTTCATCCATAACATAAAATGGAGTAGGGCGATAGTAATGTAAAGCAAATACCAAGGATAATGAGCTAAGAGTTTTTTCTCCTCCAGACAAATTTCTCATATATTTCCAAGATTTCTTAGGAGGACGTACACTAAAATTATTCATTAAACATTAATTAAAAAATTATCGTTACACTTTAAAATTTCAATCAAATTAAAGTTTCGAATAAGTCGTATCAATTAAATGAAAACAAATAAAAACTACAAGTAAAACTTTAGATAGATGTTGGAATTCCATTAAAATATTCCTATTTTTTTTAAATTTCAGACACAGATATAAAATAAAAGATTAAAATTAGGTAGATTTATTAAATTGACTAATTAAATATAATTAGCAAACACAAAAAAACTCCAGTGGAGAATTAAATTAATTTCAATTTTGTTATATATTTTAAAGAAAGGCTTTAAAAAAAATGTTTGCAACATTTCCAAAACAGCCTGATAACAAAGAAACAAGCTATTAAAATATTTAAAGATTAAAGAATTTAATATCTAAAGTAATAAAAAATTTAAATTTGTACAAACTAAAAACTGCTTTTACAAAATAATCCAAATTAATTTTATTTTATCAGCTCACTAAAAAAATTTAAAATTTTAATACTATCAGTACAGAACTGTAATTAATTTTTTCAATTAAAAGTGAAGTAAAAGGTTAAGAACAATTTAAATAATAAAGGATTATCATCGTGCTGGTATTAAAATGATGTAGAAACTATCTATGTATTTCTATAGATATACCTATGTATGAAAAAAAGTGACCATTTTGGTAATACACAAGTGTCATCATCATTTAAGCAATACAAGTGAAAACTATTTTGTTATCATAATTTTTAAAATTTTAGATAAAAAAGTATAAATTGTCTTAATTTTGAGCAAAATAAATAAGTGAGAATTTTCACACTAACACATGAACTTTTTTTTNCTTTTTTTTTAAAAAAAAGGGGAAAAAAAAGCTTTTAATACAATCTACAGAAACAATAAATTTTGAAGTTTTCCTTGGCTTATTTATAAGCATTAGCCAAAAGAAAAAATAATATAGAATTAAAAATACGATCAAATATTAATTTCTAAAATCAGGTTGTGTCCAAGAGGAGTTGATACAAATAAATCTGAATACAAATTTGTGAACAATTAAAAGTAATTGACTTTTATTATTAATTGAATAAAATGAGTCCAAAGGAGGACCTGCAGTATCAAGCCAATAGATCTTGAAGCAGATCAAAAAGCAAAATACTACAAATTTGTGTTGGTACCTTTTCCGAATAAAGTGTAAACTATCCAAAGTATGCTAAGGGATACCTGCAAGTGACATAGAGTGTGTATCTCGATCCTAATTGTTGTTGAATCAAGGCATTTGTTTACGTTAGCAACTGTTTTTTCCATTCTATTCAAGTAAGACAAGCCCGTCAAGTATTAATTCTCTTAAGTGACACTGTTCATATTCTTAGATTGCAATTCTTTTACTATATATTTCTTAACTAACTAACTAACTCAGTGGCGCGACAGCCCATTAAGAGGGCCAAGGCCGACTGTGCCCATCTCAGTTTTCTTGACCTTGGGCTCTGGGGTGCAGGAGCATATGTTCCGGTCAGGTGGTCAGCCGAACGCGGAACCCCCAGTGTTAGTTCCCAAGCATGCTTGGTACTCATTTTATCGACCCACTGAAGGGATGAAAGGCTGAGTCGGCCTTGCCCGGCCCAAGGATCGAACCAAGGACCTGTGGCACGNCATTTTATAGTATCAGGTAACTGTTTTTTCCATTCTATTCAAGTAAGACAAGCCCGTCAAGTATTGATTCTCTTAAGTGATATTGTTCATATTCTTAGATTGCAATTCTTTTACTATATATTTCTTACTTAACACAAATAAAGGCGCAAAGCCATGTAGAACATAAACAAACTAATTATGCATCAAAGTTACCAGATATACAAAACAAAAATATATCACAGTTACAATAAAATACATAAACAAATAATAAATTTAAGTTAAGTAAAAGACGTAGACGAGGAAGAATTATATTTCAACAATTTCCATGTGCAATACGGAGCAGTATTTACTTATATAAATTAACATTCTAACTGATGTGGAGTAACTTAGCTAAACTTTAATATGCCATTTTGCTTATAAATGATCAGCTGGCACTGAAGTCATAGTTCACACGTGTGGGTATCCATGATCTTTTGATTAAAATGCAAATACTCAATTTAAAAAGGGTACTGATCTTTTAATTCTGTCTACAAATAAACATAATAATTATGCAATTTCCAGAAAATGAATAAGAATATGATTCTAAAATAGATTTTTAATTTACGTCTAAATGAGTGAAAGACTAATATTCAAGCAAAATCAGAAGAGCACAGTGGTGTTTAACTGCTTTGAGTTATTTTTACCTGAATTCAATGCCCTTTGAAAAAGCATTCATGCTGTCTACAAGCTCTATTTCAGCATCACCACCATGAGTTAGCATCCTATAGATTTCTTTTAGCTTTGATGCAATTATTGAAAATCCTGTCTTGAATTCACTATTGCGTCTGTTGCTGAGATAATCAAATCGTCTACTCTGTAGATTTTTATCTTCTGTTATGTCATCAACTTCTTTTTGCTTTGCTTCATACAATCCAAGCTATAAACACATAAGTAAAATAATTAGGAACATTTTAACTATAAAATAATATTGAAATAAAATGGAATTAGTACGGGAGTGTATATTATATTAGTAGGCAATGTGACAATGTTTATTTTGGAATTTCTTTAATTTCTAATTTTCAATTTAATCTCATGTGGGTGATATACTGCATGATGTACAGGAATTGGACAAAAATGGAACTCCTTTTTTCATATTTCAAAAAATACTTCAAGAAGTATTTAAAAACTTTAGAATTGTTAGGTCATGCAATTTCTCATACATATGAATAAAGTTTAAAGATTTCATAGGTTTAAGAGACCGCCAATAAATAACAAACAAAAAAGAATGCCTTTGAACACCCTATGCCAAATAATATAGCAATAAGCTTGTACCTTATGTCAATTATGTTGGTTATTGTATCTAATAACTGCACAAAACTTTTTAAACAAACGTTCATAAAGATATGGACATTTTTAATTAATATAAATATCATTCTAAAATTTGTAAAGAACTTATCTAAATTTATGCAAAATATGAGTATTTATAGTAATCCTTTTATACTGTGAGCAGAAAACACTTAAAATTTGTTTTTTCATAAACTTGTTTTGAATTGTATTTGGTTACTTCTAAAAAAAGTTCGATTCAAATATCTTGAAAATTAAAAAAGTTTCCAGCAATTATCTAAGTAGTTTTTGTTAAGTTAATTTAGAAAGAAAGCTTTCAATGGTAAGTGGTTTTCCACAAACTTAATTTTGTACTGTTAAACAAAATTTATTAAAAATGACATCAACATTTTATAGGACAATGCCTTAATGAATTATGTTTTATTTCCTATTACCATCTCATCTTGTTATAAAAACTATCATTTTATAGTATCAGGTGTAATTAAATTTTTTTTTAATTACAAAATGGTATTTGTGAAAAAACCCCTATCATTTAGAGCTTTCAATAAAAAAGCACAAAAGCTACTTAGAAATTTGCTACAAAAATTTTACATTTTCATGATATTCAAATCAGACTTTTTTAAAAGGATATTTTTATTATATTTAAAAATTGTAAAAATTTTGTTGAATTATTATATAATAAGTTATAATAAGAAATTTAAGTCAAAAAAATTATTTTGCTTTTATAAAAATGTCCATATTTCTATGAATATTTAAGTTAGATTTACTAAATTTTGTGCAGTTATTGCATATAATAAGCAACGTAATTGACATAGGGTACAAGCTTATCACTATATTATTTGCATAGGGTGTTCAAAAACATTCTTTCTCGTTTGTTATTTATTGTCGGTCTTTTAAACCTATGAAATCTTTAAACTTTATTCATATGTATTAGAAAATGCATGACCTAACAATTCTAAAGTTTTTAAATAATTCTCGAAGTATTTCTTGAGAAATATGAAAAATTAAGTTATTATAGTAGCGTTTCCATTTGTTGTCTAATTCCTGTACATCATGCAGTGTATCACCCACTTGATTCATTGCACAGAAGTCATTACCAGTTTTTATTTATTTATTTATTTTTTTAATTATAGCAGTGGATTTCAATAGTTTTGTAATTTTCTTTTTTAATTGTGTTTAGAACAAATTAGAAAAAAAAAATTCAGTTTTTAAAAGGAATTTTTTAGGGTTACCTCTCAATTTCAGAAAGAAAAAAAATCAGAAAAATTTCAATGAAAATCCAAATTATATTATAAATCCAAACTTAATTTTATATTGGTAATGTCAAATATTAGATTTCGTGAGCAAAGAAAAGTCCTTGAATGAGGACAGAAACATAGAAGTTTCAATAAAATGGGCATTTTTTATAACAAATAATTGTAATAGATGTTAGAATTATTTAGTTCGAATTTCAACAACGGATTACTGTTACTGGCAATTCTGAGATTGGTTATTTTCCAGGTATAATGTAGAAGTTTTTGATGATTATTATTTTCTTTTTTTTTTGTTGTTAAATTGCAATTTTCTCTGAGTATTCCCTGCTTTTATCTAGGATAAAATTATGCTTTGGCACTTGTTCAGTATAAATTCGAGTAAATAAACTGTTTTTGTGCAGTTATGCACAAGTAATAAATTTCGAACTATATGTTTCACATTTGAAACCCTGAATAACAAACTCAAAATGATCGATATATAATAAGTAAAATAAGAAGTAAATAATTTTAAATTGTTACCTTAGTCTTGAATTCTTTAATTGCTGATAAATCAGGTTTCATGTCTTCTAATTGCACTTTAATGACATCAATTTCATTCGACAGAGCGGATTCGGTCAACTTCTGTATTTTCTCTTCTGACAAAGATGGCAGTACAGTTGGATCATCCTCTACTTCATTCAATTTAAGTTTGCATATCTATTTAATAAACAATAATAGAAAAACTTCATACAAATATTATTTAAAATTTCCACTAAAACATTTCTTAATTATATTATTAAATATTTCAAGACTTAGTAAGGAGAGTATTATGTTTTAAGAATTGAGAATGCTAAACAACTTTTTTGGTTAATTTAACTGAAATGAGAAAAAATTTCTTTAGTTTTAATCAATGCTTTGACACATGTACACATCAAGNACTTTAATGACATCAATTTCATTCGACAGAGCGGATTCGGTCAACTTCTGTATTTTCTCTTCTGACAAAGATGGCAGTACAGTTGGATCATCCTCTACTTCATTCAATTTAAGTTTGCATATCTATTTAATAAACAATAATAAAAAAAAGTTCATACAAATATTATTTACAATTTCCACTAAAGCAGTTTTTAATTATATTATTAAATATTTCAAGACTTAGTAAGAAGAGTATTATGTTTTTGTATATAAGAATTGAGATTGCTAAACAACTTCTTTGGGTAATTTTACTGAAATGAGAAAAAATTTCTTTAGTTTTAATCAATGGTTTGACACATGTACACACCAAGGAAGAAATTTTTTGCCACACACAATTGATTTAGGAATGGAAAACTGTGTTTTAAATAAATATATATATATATATATGTATAATAGTACCGTGATTATCACACATAGTAATACCCCTTAATGATTATTTTGTAATTTTATTCATTTTTTTTACCTATATGGCGGTTCCCTATAATCATCTTATGATCCGTAAATATGAATACAAATTGTGATTTTGATTCATAAAATGTGCACACATATTGTGATAAGTCATCCTTAAATTGCATTGTGATAAGCACATATAATTTGTAAATCCCTTTCTTTCGAATCGTGATATGAGATAAAAGGTGAGAATAAGAATTTTCAATAAAACATTAAAGTAAGCATTTCTAACACTGACACTTTTTATTTTAAATTTATAATTTTATTATGTGTTCTCAAGAGATGTGATAGCATAAGAGGTCACAGTATTATTTTACGATACAACAGGAGTAGATCATCGTTAATAATTTTACCTAGTTTTAAGCATTTACATAAAGAAAAAGTTACTTCAATTGTCGAATTTTTTTGAGTACCCAACCTCCAGTGGATGACAAATAATCTGAGTTCCATTTTAAACATTAATATCTTGAAATGCTACATAAAATTAAATGAGATTAGCAATTTGTAGTAAAACAGATTTAAAACAAAAAATAAAGTCTACTTTTGCATTATATGACTTTATAATATGACGTTTCTCCATTTCACTGGATTCAAAATTTTTTAGTTGATTTTTATGCTCTATTTCAGCTTGCTTTAGCTTGTGTTCCTTTTGCGTAATGCTATCCGTTTCTTTTTTGAACTCTGCTCTTTTTTCCTTAAACTCAGCAACTTTAACCTAGTGAGAAGAAAAGAAGAAAAAACATATTTTTAATACCCAAATACATTAACAATATACCCAAATACATTAACAATAAACACAAATATATAAGTGAAAATAAAATATTTTTGTTATTCTACAGTTATAACTTTTTAAATTAAGTTAAGATAAAAAGAAATGTTAAAAAGATTTCAATAGTAAAAAGTTTAGTGCCAGAACCATAGCATATGGAAGGAACTGAACCTCTCACTCAAAAAAGTGAGATGGTTTCTTCTTTGATATTTTACCCACATAATGAGCTCAAGGTAGTAAAAGAAATGTATCCCTGTTGATGAAAAAGAACTCTAACAGTTTCTTGATCAGAACAGAAGACTTGATACATTCAACGGCAATGCAGAGTTGGAGATTAATGAGTTATATTCAGTAGATAAAAGATTGTCTTACATAAAATACTTTTGGAAACTGAATTGTCATGATAGAAATCCTCAAAATTTAAAAATTGTGAAGTATCTGTCTTGGAAAAAGTATTTCTTAACAATCCATGTATTAGTTAAATTATTATTTTCAATATGTAGGTTCATATCAGCATATTGAAGTAAGCGTAATGATAAACATATGGTTTCATTTTCCCCTTTCTACATGATACCCTTTCCTTATGTGTATTATAAAAGCATCTATTATTAGTATTAGGCATTCCTGCTTTTAAAAATTCTCAAATCTAATCTACAAAGTGCATTACTTGATTACACATTCTACAAATAACACAAAATTTTAGAAAGCGTATTAACCATTAACTCTTTGTTAACAAATCCAATAGTCATATTCTTAATTTTTTCATACGTATATATAATGGTTAGTGTGTTTTCTAAAATTTTGTGTTATCTGTAGAATGTGCAATGAAGTATGTGTAATCAAGTGATGCACTTTGTAGATTAGATTTGTGAATTTTAAGAAAATTAAGAAAAATAAGTTTTATTTACTGTGCATACGCTGCAAGTACACAGAACCCATAAAATAAGTTAAAAATACAAAGAAAAAATGCAATTTATATTTTTAAATAGAAGAAAAATTAGTAATAAATAAAATGTTAAAAGTTAAATTAAAACTTAAAAGCAATAAAAAAGTTTGAAAAAAAAGAAGGAAAAGATATCAATAAGATATTTTTTGCAGATATAATAGTGTGAGCTGACGATGAGACTATATCTTTTCCTTATCTTGTTTCACGGCTTTTAAATTTTTTTAAACTTTAATTTTTTAAAATATTTATTTACTAATAATTTTTCTTCTTCTCTTTAAAAATATGTATTATATTTTTAGTTGTTTTCTTTGTATTTTTAATAATTTTGTAGTAAATTTTGTTTGGCAACCAATGGAAAACATCTAATTTAAATATCTTAAAAAAGTAAAAAGTTTCAAGCAATCTTCTAAGTAGTTTTTGAAGTTTTTAAAGAAAGCTCAAAATAATTAGATGCTTTCCACAAATTTTATTAGGTAGTATTGCAAATTACACTACCTTATAATAAAATCAATATATATATATATATATATATATTTTAAAAGTCAAAAGNCTATTGATATACATATATATATATATATGAAGACAGAGAGAAAAGTAGTAAACAAAAATAGGAAGAAAAAAAAAGCATAAAGAGGTACAAGGAAAGAAACACAAACCTGAACTACAATTACAGATTTTAGTACAAATGTCTGTCAGACAAACAGAAGGGTTTGATAAGGCAATTTAAATATTCTTTAATGTAAATTGCACAAAAATGTACTAATTTTGAGAATTTAAGTAGGATAGGTCTAAAGATGGACTATTTGTAAATAATAATAAATAAAAAAATATGGTTGAAATAATAAATAAGAAGAAAATCGAAAGGTGACAAAAGGCTTACATTATTCTCTTCCATTAATTGAAGAACCTCCTTCCCTTTATCTGTTAAAGTAGATTGCTGTTTTCTCAAATTATCAAGTTGTGCTTTATTTTCTTGCATTTGAATTTCAACGTTTTTAATTTTTTCTTCAATCTTCTTAATATTCCTAAAGATAAAAATAAATAAATAAATCAAGTATACACATTCTGATATCATTGAAATACTTTTTAAAATTTTATTTCTAAAAAATTTCATAAATTATGGTAAAAATCACTTTAGATCCAGCAAGTGATATAGTTTTTATTAGTTAATCAAACATTTAATATGTAAATTCATTAAAATAGTAAAATTTTGTTCATTAGCCATCATTATCAAACTAGCAAGTGGTTAATCTATAACATTTGCTTTCTCTATGTTTAGATAACAATGTTTCTTGATAAAATATGGATAACTTATAAAGTTTCCTTACCATTTCAAGTATTTACACGAGAAATGAATGTTAAATTTCTATTTCATGGATGTAACTAACTACAAGCGATTAATATCTATTTTAAAATGCAACTAGTATATATTTTTTAATACTTATTTATAAAAAAAAAATTTCTTCCAAAGATCAAGATTTTCTGTTAATTGTTGAAAAAAAAACTAAGGTAAAATAACCAAAGTAAAAATTTTTTAGTTTTTTTCCAGTGCTTAAAAAAAAATTTCTGCCATACAATCCTTTTTGAAATAATTCTTTTTGTTAATTTTAACATCCCTGCCATCTTGGTAGCAGGTTCAGTGCAGCATGGCAACACAAGTTTATTTTTCACTTGCAGGCAAGAGAGAACCTAACTTAAAAAAATTAATATTCTGCAGACAAAATGAAATTAAAACTAAATAAAACGTTCTTTCCTGTATCAGCAGCTTTTTTTCATCGTTGCAGAATTCAAGCTAAGGTGCTTAAAGAAGTTTTTGAGCAAATTTTTTAAAGTGGAATGCAAATTTAGTCAAACTTCAAAGACATCAGGATTTAAAAATTTCTAAGGAAAAATCAGAAATGCAGAGCTTTGCACCAGAATTACGTAATTGCTGCAGCAAAAACAAATGTTTAAAACTGATATTAAAACTGTGAGCTATTAAAAATCTGTTTACTCTGTGTTTTTGTTCCTTTCAATTTTAACTATTATATTTAATAAAATATGCAATAATAAAGTAATAATAATGAAACCTAAAACATATTTGAAAATTTCCCCATATATTGCAGTATAATCAAAACTACAAAGTTCAACACTTGATTACACATAAATTATCTCATACTCAGTAGATAAATACTAGAATTTTTCCATACTGCTACAGATAAATGCAGAAGTTTTTGTTACTGATCCAACTACCAATAATATTAAAATTTATTAATTCATAGTTTTGCCAAATCAAATATTTTATTAAATATAACTTTATATCAGGGGGGAAAAAACACTAACAAAATAAGCGTATAGTCGAATCTTAGTTGTTATCTGGATCATTTTTGAGGGAAAAAAAATAAGTAAATTGCACCTACTGTAATTCCAAGTAAGACTAATCATGATGCAGATTCAACTGAGATATTACTAGCAGAACCAAAATCAGTAGAAAACAATAGCAAGTAAATGGTATCTACTGGAATTCCAAGCAAGGATAATCACAATGTATATTCAAATGAGATGTCACTGGTACGCATGGAACAGAAACTGGGTTGGCTTCATGCTGTTACCAGGGATTCCTTCACAACGACAGCTCAATGCTTTAAGCACTAGTGGCTTTCATATTGTATCCAGCCCATATTAATTGCATCCATAATTGGTGACCAGCTTGGTCATCTTTCAAAATTATCTCGTACAAAGTATGAACTTTAAGGTGACAGAATGCACAGCACAACTGTATTTAAATATTCTTATTCCTCAACCTCTCCTCTAATCTTAACACTTTAATTAGTTTTGCAAAATATCTTAACCAAATTTTTTCACTGTCTAGCTATTGCCAAAAGTGCTTTGATATCAATTTTAACTGTTTTCAAGAGATGGCTGCTATATTATCAAAGTTCTTTATGCATAGAATTTTAGTCATAATTTAAAATATTCCAGCAGCCATTAAATCACACAAATCACCATGAGTATGGGCTCGGGAGCATAGTAAGCAGCAGAAGTATTAAAATTTTTTCCATCTTTAACATGAGATAAGATAGAAAACTAATCCCAATGCCTCATAACCATAACATATAATATATATGTGCATTACTTGAAAAAGGCAAGCTCAGTCAACAATGATAGTATGTGGCACTAAAGAAACGTATATGTTCAATATTTCTTACAGCGATTTCAGAATGGATAAAAAATAAATCGAAATAATCACTCCGTAACTAAGTTGTCATTTCCATAAAAATACAAAATTATTCTAAATACTTAACATGTAACTAACTATTCAGCACTACTTAAACTATTATTTAAGGCAACATTAACAAGATGAATAATAACTATAGTGTTGACAATAGAAAAATATCTAGGCTTATGGTAAAACATAAAAGAAATATATATTTAGATTCGCATTATATTTAATTATTAAGTTCAACACCCAACAGAGTTTGCTACCGAATATAGATTGATGTATGTTACAAACATAATACATATTTTAACGTAAAAACATTACCTCTTTGCAGCTTTCAAATTCACTGTGGATTTCGTTATAGCCTGTGTCACTTCAGTTAATTTCTTTTCCAATTGAGTGACATTCTTTTTAACTTTTTGAAATTTTCCTTTGCTGATTTGCAAAATTTCAGCCTGCAATCTAAATACAAAAGAATTATACACTAGAGATACAAAAGGACAGCAAATAAAAAGAAAAAAATTTCTTATTTTAAGATTTGAGCTAGGATTGCTTAAGGGATATAGTGTTTGCCTCTGAATGAGAGAACTCAGGTTCGAGTCTCGATGGCACCCATAATAGTGATCTTGACTAGTGCAGATGTAATTTTTTCACCAGTGGTAAAAATTCTTTTGTCATTTAACCAATGGTGGAGGTTTTCCTGATTTGTTTTCTTCCAATTAAGTAAATGGGGGTTAAGTTTCATTCACAGAAAGTCTCCCTTTTCCCTGAAAATCACTTCTACACTACAAAACATCCCTTCAGAAGAAATTTTGTGAGAATAATTTTAATTGTGAATATTTTTCTAAAGCAAACTGTTTTTGAAAATAAAATAAAAAATATGTAATTTTTGGACATTATTTTTCAAAAGAAATTTACTTGTAGTACTTAACTCAAATATATAATTATATTTTTCTTTTATAAAATAATTTTTTGCCATAATAAATTAAATGATATATAAATATAATAAAGGAGGGGAAAAAACGTGCACTATATGTTATTAATTTGCTCGCATTTAAAAAGAAAGGAAAAAAAAAGGACTTACTTTGCTACATTTTGTTCTACAGCAGTTTCTTCTTCAATAGCTTTTGTATAGCCTAATTTAGGGAAATAACCAAATAATTTCAATACTTTTATGCACAAAATCTTAAAAAGAAATGCTACAATAGTCAGAAGTCTTCAATGATTCAAATTTTTAGAAAAAAGCAGATTAGGTTATGTAATACAAAGCAGCATAATTGCATTTTGGTTTTCGGAAATTACAATTAAAAAGTCAAAAGTATGTTTGCTTCCTTCTAATTCTAATTTGAATGAACCTTTGAAGACTAATCTGCTGTTATCTAACAACTCTAGCATTGCTGAATTTTCAGATTGCATTCTAATATTTCGCAATTTTAACACTGGTTTAATGGTGTTTGAAATTAAGTCAATCACCAGTGCAACAAATGCTATTCTTTAATGAAAGTTTCCATAGATGCTTCTTCTCGTTTAGAATTATTTTTATCTTAGCGAGATATTGTCTTTATTTAATATGATTAATTACCAGTGGTAATTTTTTTTTTTAAAATGCCAATTCTATTAACACTCACTAAGTAAAATCCTCTCGTTCCCTATTTAAATAAAATTGCAATATAAACAGAATAAATATGAAAGACAAATTTCAAAAATGTTCCATTAAGAAATATTGCCTTTTCTTAAAATTTATATATTCTAAACGCAAATATTTAGATTTTTGAGTACAAAAAAATACTAAAATCTTGGGTGCCAGATATAATTTTTAAAGTATCATGGCAACAAGGAATTTTTGACTTCTGACGATAGTTAATAACAAAAATATCATACAACATTAGGAATTAGATATAAATAGAATAACAGATTAAAATGTAATAAGAAATATTGTTTGCTCAACTGGAATAATGTAAATTTAATGTTAGACTTCATTCTTATTATTTTTAGACCTAATGGAAGTATATGTAAAACTCTGAGTGACATTTTAGTTATTTAAAAAAAACTAATACAGCAAGTTGTTGGCCAAGCATATTTTTTCCCCATTGGAAAACCATTTTATTTAATAATTTGATGCAGAATAAATTATTAACAATCATATATGACCATGATAGCTAAACAATGAAAAAGTAGTGTTTTAAAAAGGTTACTTAACTTGTTCCTACATTGCCATTAAGCAATTCAATTATGACCAGGTAAAATGTGCAGTGTATAAGGACTGGAATTTTTGTTATGATTTTTTTAAAAAATAACCCAGATTGGGTTGGCCTAATTGTGTTTCACTTGGGTTTATCAATTTTTATAAGGTTTTTCTTTTTAGAGGAGGGATGGTTAAATAAAATTTTATAAAGATAACTAAATTCATTTTATTACTATACATTATTTTTATTAAGAATATAAGAAATATTCCAAGTACTTTTAATAATTTAAAAGTAAAAGAACATACGTTTATTTTTCTCCTTAATAACATTTTCTAGCATTTTAACTTTTTTATCATCGACCTTAACTCCATCCACTTTTCTTTTCTGAGTTTCCATTTGAGAAGACAGCTCTTTAACACTTTCTTCATATGCCTAAAATATGAAAGTTTAAATTTGATAAAAATAATGTCATTATCTAAAATAAATAAAATTTTCCGAAATTATCCACACATTAGAGAAATATTTATTCATTCTGGAGCTAAGCATAATGCATTGATTATTTAGGCACTTAATAATAACAATATTGCCGACAGAATTATTTAAAATTTTGAACAATAATTATAATATGAAACTTTAAATTTTTTTTTAAATAAATATCAATACATAGCAACATATTTAAGACTCAATAAATGTATAATACTTGATAACTCTTATTCATTTTTCCTTTGCAACAGCTCAGGATGTGCCCTGGCCTTCTTTAGAATTTTATACCACCTATATTTTTGTCCTAGTTTTTCTATTTAGTTAGTTCAAGAAGACTGTTCAACCAATTAATTTTAGGCTATACCTCTCTTTTGAGTGATGGTTTGTTTGGCCATAAATACTTTTTTGGTGGTACTAATTAGTTCTAATTACACCTCCAGCCCATTTTAACCTTTGGATGCTAATAAAATTAATTATGCCAGTATTTTTCATATTATTATTTAGACGTGATCTTTTATTAGATAAAATATTATCCTTTATCAGTACAATGTTTATTGCACATTTTTTTGCTTAAAAATATCAGAAATCTGTTCATTGTACATAAAAATCTCATTATTAAAATGTTAATTTTTAGATAAACACAAGTAAAAAAGAATTCCCTTAACTCTATAGGGTGATGTTCCCAACGTTTTGTTTTAGGGCAACTAAAAAAATTTGTATCAAGAGTTAGTTTTGAGAGATTTAGCACGAAACATTAAAAAAATAAATAAAAAGAGAGTAAGAGAATTTTTACCTTAATATGCTTACACAGAACTCAATAATTATTCTCTCTTGAATATGATACAATGAAAAAATTCATAATTATATTTGCATGTCTTAAACTGACAGTAAAAATGCCAAGTAAAATTTAAAAGTATGACTAAATCAAAACATTCAATTAGTTGGAAAACAAATGAATTCTCACTAGCTTAGCAATAAATTACTTGAATGTATATACAGGGATGAGAGTAGTCAGAAAGTAAAAAAGAGGAAATCCAAATATATATATATATATATATATATATATATAT